CTGCACTCCAGTCTGGGCGACAGAGTGAGACTCCAACTCAAAAAAAAAAAAAAAAGCATCAGATATTTACTGACATCAACCTAATATAGCCAATTGCATCTTTTATCTCACAATAGGAACTCGTTTTGCCAAGAAGATTAGAACATACTCAAAACCAGTGGCCAAGTATCCTTTTTTCCAGAGCAAGCGCATTTGGGTATGTCAATGCCTTGTTCATTTGCTTGTGGTCACGTTCACTAACCTTGGAGCCTGGCTCCCACAAGCTGATGTCATGTCCACTTTAGCTATTAGGGACCCGTCTTTTTATTCCCACCTAGTTTTTGAGGGCCATTATGTTGCTGTCTGCTATTATTGTCTGTCGTCTGCCTAGCTACTTACAAATATGTGTATATACGTTACACACACACACACACACACACACACATTGTGACTTTCAGAGAACAGTGGCTTGGAATGACCAGAAAAGACTGATATGGTCTTGGAAGACATGGACTTCTCAGCAACAGAAGTGGATGGTAGGATAGAAAATGTTCTAGGAGCAGAGAACAGGAGGAATGAAGGCCGTGAGGAAGGAAAGAGCCAAGCGGCGTTCTAGGCTGAGGGGTTGTAGCTGGAGGTTGGAGTCCGTGCAGGCTAGTAGTGAGACAAGCCTGGAAAGACAGGGTGGAGCGGTGTTGCAGAAGGCTGTGAACACCAGAGTTAAATTTCTGTATGGTAGACAATGAGAAGACATTTATATTTCTACGGTCAGGGAGGGTTGGACCAGAGCTGGGATTTAGGAGGCTGAATCTGTGTGGGTTTACATCTATCTTGGTCTGCTTGGGCTCCCGGAACAGAACACAAGAGGCTTAAACAACAGACGTGCATTTCTCACAGTTCTGGAGACTGGGTATTCTAAGATTAGTGTGCCAGCAGGTTCGGCTTCTGGTGAAGGCCCTTATCCTGTTTTGCAGATTTGTCTTCTCACTGTGTCCCACATGCTAAAAGGGAAAGCTCTGGTCTCCCTCCTTCTTCGTAAAAGGATAATAATCCCAGGCTGGGTGCGGTGGCTCAAGCCTGTCATCCCAGCACTTTGGGAGGCTGAGGTGAGGGGACTGCCTGAGCCCATGGGTTCCAGAACAACCTGGGCAACTCGGCGACACCTCATCTCTACAATAAATCAAAAAAATTAGCCGGGCCTGGTAGCATGCACCTGTAGTTCCGGCTACTTGGAAGGCTGAGGCGGAAGGATTTCTGGAGCCTGGCGGGTTGACACTGGGGTGGCCATGAGTGTACATGCCAATGCACTCCAGCCTGGGTGATGGAGTGAAACTCCAACTCAAAAAAAAAAAAAAAAAAGGATAATAATCCCATCATGGGGGCTTCACCCTCAGAACTTCATCTAACCATAATTATCTTCCCAAGGCCACCACCTAATACCTTCACTTGAGGGGTTAGGTCCTCACTGTATGAATTTAGGGGAACACAGGCATTCAGTCCACAGCACGCACCATCTGGGTGTCTGCTGTTACTATAGTTCAGAGGAGGGGAAAGTCTGTACCAGGTTGAGGACGACTGAAAAGCAAAAGGCATAGCAGAGGTGAGGAAGGGAACCCAAAGGAGAGGGCAGGGCTCAGCCAAGGTGGGTACAAAAAGGAAAGTGCCATTGTCAGACTGTGGTCGTGTGGGTACGGCCGTCTTGGATGGTCACAAACGTTGACTTCAACTTGAGTTATGTGACCTGCAGACAGAACTCGTGAGCAAGTGCCAGCCTCCAGAGACAGAGCACTGCGGTTCAGGGGAAACGTGCCGTGAGCAAAATAAGAGCCACGTCTACTATTTAATTTTTCGAGCAGCCACATTTAAAAAGGTCAAAAGAAACACGACGCTAATTTGAATACTATAATTCATTTAGCACAATATATCAAAATATTATTACCCCATTGTCTAATCAGTGTAACAGAGCCTAACATTCCGGTGTTCTCTGGCCACATTTCAAGCACTCCGTGGCTGAGTAGGTCCAGAATGGTAAATGTCGGAGCCAGCCACAACTCAGCTTTTTCCTTTGCTTGTGAACGTGAACCCGCTGTGCCAGCTTTTTTGCTGTTACAAACAGTGCTGTTATAAAGAGTCATGCACCACCCTTGGTGCAGGAATTTTGGAAGGCATACTTTGGGGAGTAGTATTGCTGGGCGGTAGCAGGTGAAATAGTGCCAAATTGTTTACTTTTTAATTTTTTTGAGTCTGTGTCTCACTCTGTCATCCAGGCTGGAGCGCAGCGGTGCGATCACTGCCCCCTGCAGCCTCAATCTCCTGGGCTCCAGTGGTCCTTCTGCCTCAGCCTCCTGAGTTGATGAGACTACAGGTGTGTGCCACTCTGCCCAGCCAATTTATTTTTATTTGTAGAGATGAGGTCTCCCTATGTAGCCCAGGCTGGTCTCGATTTCCTGGGCTCAAGGAATCTTCCCACCTCAGCTTCCCACAGTGCTGGGATCACACTTACCCTGTTTTGCAGATTTGTCTTCTCACTCTGTTTCACGTTTTAAAAGAAGAGAGTGCAGGTCTTTCTTTCACAAGTGTGAGTCACCGCACCAGCAGCCACGTTGTCCTCTGAGGAGGTTGCTCCTGCTTGCACTCTCACTAGCAGCGTGCAAGAGCCTCACTACTCCACAGCCTCACCCCCATTAAGTTTTGGCCACATTTCTTCATTCTGGCCAATCTAGTGGGTGTAAAATGGCTTCTTATTTGGTTGTAATTTGTGTTTGTTCTGATGATTAATAAGTTTGAACATTTTTTATAGCATTAGAGCCCTTATTTTTCCTTCTGTGAAAATGATAAATATTCAAATATAAATGTTTATATTATACAGTCACATAATGTTATATTCATATAGAAGGGGGACTCAAAAAAACCTCAGAATTATCTTTTGGAGGGCAGGTCCCTTGTAAATACAGGCTTCCCTCGCTAGGTAAGTGTTCTTGGTCATCGGCATCGGGGTACCAGCTAGCATTGTTGTGAGAAACGATTTGTGGAAGAAACGTCCCAAGTTGTGACAGGCAGGGGACTGGTTCTTCCACCAGTGACAATGCACTGGTCTACCCCGCGCTGAGTGTTCTGCAGTTTTTGACCAAAACCACCTTCCCTATTCACCAGCTCTCACCCTGAGTGGAGTGACTGTTTTTTTGTTTCCCCGATGAAGAGAATCATCCAAGGGAAATGTTTTGCTAATGTGGAAGAGATGAAACAAAAAAACAACAGAAGCACTAAAAGGCATCAAAATTGATGAGTTCGAAAACTGTTTTGAGCCATGGAAAAAACATCACAATAGGTGTGTTACATCGAACAAAAGTACTTTGAAGGTGACAAGTTTAAACTTGTAAAACGAAATGCACAATTTTTTATAAATAAATTCTGTTTGGGAGGTTTCCCTCATATGTCATGTAATATATTTCTTCAAATATATATTCTTCACAGGTATTTACTGAACATCTACTATTTGTTAAATAGGGGGTCTAGGCACTGGGTGGAAAAAAATAGTCCCAAGTTCCTGCCATCATGGAGTTTATGTTGTAGTGTGTATTGGGGCGGGGAGGGAAAAAAATGGAATACTGCATGTCCTATGGTGTTAGTAAACTTGGATTGAAGTCTGACTCAGCCATTTCACATCACAAATGGGAAATGTTGTTGGTCTGTCATTTGGTGTCAACTTATTGGTGTTTTCTTCTACAAGATAGATGACTTTGGCTAATTGAGACGTGTTATTTTCAGGCTTCTTAAATTCCAGGGACCAAGAGCCTGAGAACATGCATATTTTAAAAAGCTACATCATATTAGATAGCCACAAATGTGGGAAAATTCCTAGGAATGTCTTGTATAATTCCGGACTGTGTTTCTGAGAGTCTAAATGTTGCTTGAATTAATTGTTTTAGTCTGACAACCAGTTTATTGAATGCCTACTATGTGCAAAGTAATGTGTTGAAGAGACGTATATGACCTTATTAGTCTTTGAAACAATTGTTGTTCCTTCTTTCTTAGATAATGATGTTGAAAATGATCTTCGATCAGACATCAGTTGAACACTGCAAGACATACACAGAGAAGCAGGAAGACTGCAGCTTCTTCTTAATAGCTGTTCGCCTGGCTTCACTGAACCAGATCTTGGATCCTTGGGTTTATCTGCTGTTAAGAAAGATCCTTCTTCGAAAGTTTTGCCAGGTAGCAAATGCTGTCTCTGGCTGCTCTAGTAATGGACAGAAGGGGCAGCCTATCTCGTTATCTAATGAAATAATACAGACAGGAGCATGAAAGAGAACACTAATCAACTTGCATGTTCACAGCTTTTAACAGCAAGTGTCCCTAAACCTTACTGTGAATTTAGGCATCTTGGGCATGCCACTGTTCATGCATTGAAGTGAAATTTTTGCCATAAGGCAAAATAATGGTCTCAGAAGCATAGACAATCCTCCATGTGCCAAAAGTACTAAAACACAAACACAGGAAAACATATTAATAACAGTCTAGGGTTTTTGGGTCTCTGCCATTTGTAGCTGTAGCTGCATATGTGATAAATCATGTGATGAAATTTACAAATGATCTTGGCCTGTTGGGGTCAGGGACCGTTAATATCCCAGTATACTGAATACATGGGGATTTAGCCGCTCATATCATGGAAGATAAAAGATAGCAGTTTATTTCTGTTCAAGGACATTGCTGTGTTCTCTTTCATTGTCTCTCCCACTCTCTGTCACTTCTTTCTCGCTTTCATTAAAAATAAAAGTATAATTAGGGTGAAAAAAATGTGTAATGTATCCACGATATTCATTGACACTGATGTTATTTAAATGTTGCTCAGTATATCAAGTGAACTCCTAACTTTGCAAAGTTTACATTTTGGTTGAGTTGTTAGGTTTACTCTTTATCTAAATAAGAACTAATTCTATTTGTTTAAAATATTGTAGAGTTTGTGAATACCCAAATTGCTAACTGTTCTTTCCTTTGAAAACATTCTGTGTCCCCACAAGCCTGGAGAAGATTTATGAAACTGATTTATGAGAGTCAGTAAGGTGATTTTTCAGCATGCTGCTTGAGGACTGATCTGAGTACTAATGATAAGCACTCTGATTAATTGTTTCTTCTGATGTTTCCACCGAAAGTATCCTTCAGTCTTTTAGATCTTTAAATACCGATCCTGACTCTAAAACAAATAAATATTTGGAAGTTCAGTGGCGAATTCCCATAGTTTGGCCTATTTGTAAGAAAAGAAAGCTGCTGATATTCACCTCTCACAGCACTTCCTCTGTCCTCTTCTCAAAGTGGCTCTATCTAAACGCTTATTGTTAAGATGTTTCTCCTACGGCCCACATGAATACACACCTCGATATCTGAGCCTGGCATCTTTATGGCACAAGTAGATCGCGACATTAAGTTTTGGGGGTGGAACTTTCTAAGAAGTCTCATCCACTGACGCAATGATGCTTTAAGTTCGGCCTGCACAGAATGCTTGTCCTGGGTTCTGCTGCATTCCTTTGTGAACCCACTACCTTTTTATTGTGAAGATTTCACTTTGAAGGTTGCTGTATTACTTTCCCAGTTTTTTAAAAGCTTGAGATTTATTTGTATTTCTTAGAGCAGCTACACTTTTCCTCGTGTTTAGTAGGCATTTGGGGAAGAATTAATTTTAATGAGTGTACCGTATCTATTAGATTACTGTGTACACCAGCCATAGTCAGTCAGGAACAGTCAACTCCTAAATGATCATGTCAGATTGAATCAGAAGGCATAATCTGCTGAGAGTGCTTATGTAATTCACGATGAGTTCCACTAATCTAAATTTTGAAAATATGATAAACAACCTATACTAAAACTCCGTTATAAAATGCCATAGAATTGGGTTGTCTCATAGGTCACTTCAGGGGGTACAAGATAAAAATTCCTACTTTTTTTTTTTAAATAAGATACTTTTAAATAACCTTATAATAAAGAACCTTTACCTTTTGGGTAGTCCTCTAGCACAGGCAATACTCAGATAGACACACACGCAGTGTGAAGTTGAGCATGATTGGGTTATTCTTTCCAACAGATAGATTATATACATTTTTCAGTGAGTATTTGGCGAGTAAATGAATAAAAGTCTGCCAAAACTGAGTGCACATTGGTGAGGCACATGCCATTCAGCTAAGCTGCTTCATGCCACAAGAGTTCATCAAATTGATAAAGCAAATGACTTTTGCCTACTTCAGAAACATGAATTTATCTTGAAAAGTATAGCATCACGTTGCTATACAACCAAATGCTTTACTTGTATTAATAATGTAGGAGACTGATATTTCTGGGGGGTAATGGAGATTACTATCAAAAGGATATCACTTTTCATCAAACCGCGAGAATACAGAAAGGCAAAAATATTGGAAACTTATTCTTAATGACAAAATCAATTCTTGCCCCAGGGATACATCTTAGGAGGTCTTGCCCCAGGGATACATCTTAGGAGGAGCTGAATGGCAGTTTTTGAACAAGTATGAAGAGGAGGGAGAGGAAGAAGATATGTTGTAAATGGAATGTGGTTTCATCATCTGGGCATTTGTCAGTCCAGGGAGAACCTGATGAAAATTCCAAATGATTTCAGCCTTTTGATGGTAATTGAGGTTAGATGCCAGAGACATGCAGAGGCTATAATGTGGTTAGAAATCAGACATCTATGGTCACAGCACAAGGGTGTGTCTGTTTCTAAGCTGAAGTTTATTAGCCTTCAAGTTCACTTGGTTTGTCCATCAGAGCAGGAAAAAAGTGCTTGCATAAATTATGGCAATTCCCAAACTTTGAAGTGTTGGCTAAAAACTATTAGAGGCCTAGAAAACTACGTGGATATAAGCGAATGAATGAAGTATAGAAATACATGTAAAATCAGCACTTGTTGATTCATTTTACAAAGTGTTCATTTAACAAAGTAGTCCTGATTTTCCAAACAATAAATTTATACACTATGCTGTTTTCATAGTAGAAGATGATAACATGCTATCCAGTAAGAACAGTTTGCTTTCCAAGTAAAACAGGTGTGGTGAATGTCCTAAAAATATTTTTAAGTTAAAGAAACAAAATGTGTTATCTTAAGACTAACCAAATTTACCTAGTGCTGTATACCAAGGTATTTTAAGTAAATGTAAGTTTTAATTATGCCAGACTTAAACCACTCTGAAATGAAAGGTGCACATATATTTATAATTAGCATTTTTTAAATTTTATAAAATGTCATTTGACTGTGATACCAGAAAAATGTGGAACCTCATGTAAGTGAATTATGAATATGAATGGTCCTGTGACAACATTGGCATTGAGTAAAACCAAAAATTCTGACGAACAGTATTTGAATAATATGGTCACTCTGTGGCTATATTCTAATATTAGATTTTCAGGTGGCTTAGGCCTCTTACTTATTCAACTCTTTTAATATTTTTGTTGGGTTTGACCCCAAATTAGCGATCAGCTTTTAATCTTCTCCACACCAACCATGTAATAGTTCTTTTGTAACGGGATCAACTCAAAGAAAGAAAATAGAAAATTTTGTTCTTTGAAATTATAGACTTCTATAGAGTCTACTTATTTTCATAGTTTAACCTCAAAAGCGTCTCTTGAAACACACAGGATTCTAGAGATGAGTGACACAAGGAGACTGCCGGACATTTATTATTACAAACACATAAAAAGCTTAATTTGAAAAATTAAAATTTCTGTTTTATCTATATCAAACGTTTAGGCCATCAACTGTGACAGGTTTCTACGGCTGCTTGTTTTGTATGTTTATATGTCTCAAAATCTGTTAAAATCGAGGTCGAAAAATGTGCAGAATTATGCAACTGTGGCTGTGTCCATAAGACTTTTTCTGAGTTGCTATAAAATGCTGGTGAAGTGGCATATGTCATGACAAAGTTATGGTAGAACCAACTCACACAATATAAAAATCAACCTGAACTCATATACATATTTGTTATTGAAGCTGACATCAGTTCAGTATTGTACAGAAACTTAACAGGTGGCAATTAAATGTGAAGCATGAATGGGAGAATTAAGGAAGAATTTTATGTTATATATTCTCTGTTTTGTACTTCCTAAAATGAAGACTCAGTTTCACGGTTATGACTTACTCAACTTAGCTATAAACCATTACATTATGATACCATACACAGAGCACATTGTGATTCCTCCCAGACTCATAATCTAATCACACATGTATCTACTCATTTGCATGTTACACATTTTCAGAATTAAATTATTTTACTTTCAGAAGCTTTCCATCCATTCGATTCATATACTAAGCAACCTGAATATCTCCTGGACTACGAATTTCTTCAGTAGAGCTGGACTCCTTAACTCTAACCTGCATACCCATTCTCCACGGGTGTAGAGTAACAGAAATATTTTCTACCAGGGAAGCTGTGATGGTTTTTAAGAGAAGAGAGAACAACCTTAGTTTAAAATGCCAATCCCCTAGTATGTGAAATGGATCTATATCTGTTTTTAAAAATAAGTCTGCTTTGATGGAGCAGTTTTATTAAGGGAGTAAAGATGTGAAGGAAGGAGGTCACCACGTGGAGCAGCACAACCTTTTCATGCTTTTTGAGCATTTTGGAGATGAGCCCACTCTTCAAGTTATTTTCAAATGTGCACCTCTTAAATTCTGTTGTCAAGTGCTTTAGACTTAGAACAGTTTTATCCTTTAATTAAAGAGAATTAAATATCCAGACAAAAGCTAGCCAATCACTAAACTTTAGCCGTAATTTGAAAATAGTTTTCCTTGCATAGTTTTCAGTGTCTGTTGAAACCAAACCTGTAATGTCAGGCAGGGGAAAATGCATATGACATACTTCAATGTTCTGTCTGCTTTTGAAAGAATACGCTTGTGGGTAGGTATGGGAAGTGAGGGAGAGAGCACGGAGAAAAGCCTGGCGGAAAACCTGTCCACTTTCAGCCTGTTACAACTCGCTTAGGCCAGATCCAGGAGCCAAGAGAGGAAACGACTGCACTGACTTGTGCACACTTGGGCATCGGCAGGACAAAATGAGGAGTGGCCAGGGCTCGTCTCTGTAAAAGAAAGTGATAAGTTCACACTGATTCCTGACCCCACTTCCTTCCCAACTCTGCCTTGAAAGAGAGAGAGAGAAAGAAAGAAAGAAAGAATACTGAGTGGTCTTTCACAGCAACAAAGATCTGAGCATCAC